AATGAGGGCAAGAATATCATTTTTCATGCGATTATTGATATGAAATATTAATTTATCTTTCGGTAATATGTTAATTCAGTGGCCAAAGCATTCTCTGCCAAGCTTCATTGTAGAAAGCATACTTTTAACGTGCGTACGAAACGCCAAAGTTGTAGGTATGTGGATCGGCCTCTATTCTTTGTTTACTCACATTTTCCTATATCAACATATACATACATATATATGTACATATGTCCTTGAACAACAATCCACAAATACACTTTTTCACCAAGGATTATATTTCGTTCAGGTATACAGCGTAACTGCTACAAGTAGCAAACTATTTTGGGGGTGTTAAAAAGTGCTTAGTTGTTTTTTTGTTTTTGCGGCACAAACGATTAAACTATCCTCTTTATTTATTTTTCTCTGTAAAGAAAAAACACATGCATATGTACATATGTACGTACATATATAAATATGCATGTTATGTATATACATATTTATGTATACAACTTTAAAAAAGATTGTACTAAATAACACAGTGCTACAAAAAAAATAAAATTGAATACACTTTTGAAGCGACCTAGTAGAGATTGTTCATCTGGTCGAGTTATCCACGAAACACCCTTCAAAGGATTTGTAACACCCCCAAAATCTGGATTTAAGGCCAAAAAACCGTTTTTTCAGAGTTTTCGTTGAAAAAAAAATCATTAAAAATCTTATTTTCAACCGTTTTTTAAATTCTTAACGGTTTTGGGCAGATAATTGTTGACACTTTCGAAATGTATACAGTGTTTTGTTCATTTGAGAGGGGTATGAGATGTTTTTGCGAGAAGTTGAATTTTTTGAAAATTTTTTCGGTTTTTCCGGTTTCGACGTAATTTTTTTGCCACTAATTGACAATGAATGAACTTCTTTGGGCATGTGTCATCGAGAGGCATTCACTACTTAATTATACAAGTGTTTTTTTTTGGGAAAGGACTTCAAGTTTTCAAGATATGCAGCATAATCCAAAATCAAATTTTTCGGTCTCAAGCGCCCTACAGGGGTACTATGTATTAGAAGGCGGGTTGATTTGAAAATCACCCAAGTGACAAGGAAAATCGTATTTTAGGGATCAAAATAAGATACTTTGCCGAAGGAAGCATACCTCTAAAACCAATTCTGATGTCCCGACTTCGTACTTTTGACCTTGAGCGCCAAAGCTTGAAAAATCCTAAGTTGACCCATTTAGAGTGCCCCAATCGTATTTAAATGTATGACCGACCCCCACTAACTTTGTAGGGCCGACCCACCCATGCCAGTGGAACCCCCCCTAAGACCCCACCTGTGGGGTTCCCCATACAAAAATTTCACAAAAACCCCCATTTTTAGCATTTTACATGAAAAAATCATTGCACGACAGCCAGTTATCTTTTTAACTCAATGTTAATTTGAAAAGTTGTCTAAACCGTACGAGTTTCAGCCTTCATTTAATGTTAACTCTAAGTCAAAAATATAAATTTGGCTGCGCAAGTGAACCTTTAGATAGCAAACAGTCGTTTTTAGCGATAGTTAGATTGATAACATATATATTTTTCATAAAATTTTGCACTCATTAGAACACTTTATACAAAACAATGGGAAATGTTTAACAATGGTTAAGATGTTAGCTAATTACTTTTGGAAGCTTATGTAGAAATGGGATGCAAAATGTCAATCAAGATAAAAAAAAAAAACCACTTTAAGATGCTCGCTAACTATATACCTCAACCAATTCGAATTAAAAATGTTTCCTGGATCTTTTGCGCTTATAATACAGGTCGTCGGTTTCACGTTTGAGCAACCAGCAGTAATTAGCGATCATCTTAACGTGGTTTTTTCCAGCAAAGCGCTTTTCTATTGCCGAGATTTCCTGGTGAAATCGTTCACCTTGCTCGTCGCTAAACTGACCCAGATTATCCGGGAAGAAATCCAAGTGAGAGTGCAAAAAATTTATCTTGATTGACATTTTGCATCCCATTTCTCCATAAGCTTCCAAAAACTCTTGAACCACTTCCTTATAATTAGAACTTCTTTCATTTCCAAGATAGTTATGACATAAAGAGATAAAACTCAGCCATGCTCTCTTTTCTACTTCGTTCAGTTTTTCGACAAAATTCTCATCAATCATCAGCTTGCGAATCTGGGGTCCGATGAAAATGCCTGTAAAGTAAAGAATTAAAATGGTTGCAGATGCGTTTTCGAAAAAATTAATAGTCGGCAAATTCTTCGAAAGTAGGTACCTTCTTTTATTTTAGCATCACTTAGTTTGGGAAAAACTGTTTCCAGGTGCAGAAATGACTCGCTGTTTTTGTCGAGTCGTTTTACAAATTGTTTCATGTAGCCCAACTTTAGGTGCAATGGCGGCAAGATAATGTTATCAGGTTTTACTAATGGGATATTGAGAACATTTTTAATTCCAATTTGAAACCCCTTTCTCGGAGGCCACACGCTACACTTGTAAGGATCCTTGGCACGACTGTCCCATTCTCAGAAATAGCACGGATGCTTAGTGTAGCCTCCTTGCATTCCCAGAAGTATTGTCAGAACTTTGAGGTCTGAGACAATTTGCCATTGATGTTTATTGTAATTGATTAATCGTAAAATCTTTTCCATCGTTTGATACGTCTCTTTCATATCAGTAGCGTATGCTATTGGAACTGTTGGCAACTGATTCTCGTTGTGAATTAATACTACTTTCAGACCTACGAATTTCGTGAATTAAACGTAAATTTTTTAATATTGCTTAATTTTGGTTTTCTCACACTTATGATAAATAAAATACTTACTTTTGCAAGAACCGTCCAGAAATAATCGCCAATCTTTTGCGCAGTACACGTGATCGAAGGCAGCAAACAATCCATCCACATCAACACAATATACAAGTTTATTGTCTATATCATCAGCCTTAAAAACTTCTTCGAATGACGATAAGTCTAAGTTTCGTGTGAATGTCACTTTAAAGTCATCATCCACTACATTCCACTGCTTTATTCGTGAACCCAGGATCTCTGTTTCTCTATAAGACAGATTCAAATCTCGACTAAGATCACTATAATCTTGGCTAGATATAAAATGTCGTTCCTTTACTACTGCCCGATTTGGAACATACGACGAGTCCTCATTTTTTTCAATCGGGAACTCGCTGCAAGGGTCTGCTGGTCCGTTTGCAGTTGGCTCCCCTGTGTTTTCTTTCGGGGTTGGTCTCGATACAGTCAACACATTAGCATATTTTATGAGATTGCGAGTTTTGTAGTGATGGCCAACGGTATCTGTTTGGCAGAAGTAGCAATCTTTCGACTTGTGATACGGTTGATAATGCCAAGTCATGGGAGTCTCAAATAACAAATGCTGGTTATAACACTTACCGGATTTCACTTTCTTCAGTACTGCAGAGCACGTCGAGCAAACACTTTCGGGTTCATACCAACCACTTTCAACGTATGAGAGTTTAAACAAGTCGTTGAAGGAGTGAACCACTGCTTGATTCTTTTTAAACTCCGAGCGATGTGGCTTGTCAACAAACAAGCCACACACGTAACAAAACCGGTTGCGTTTATCACACATTTCAATTTTTTTGGAGCGAATGATCCCGTGTAATTAATTACGCGAAGTTTATTAAGAATATGACGTTTTAGTGACTGCATTAATGACCAGATTCGCAATCTGACGATTGATGAAACAAGTAGAAAATACAGCTGAGTTTCATCTCTATGGGTAATAGCTATCTTGTAAATGAAGAAAGTTCAATATACAAGGAAGTGGTTCAAGAATTCTCGGAAACTAATTTAGAAATTGTATGCAAAATGTCCATCAATATCCATTTTTGGCATTCTCATTTGGATAATCTTGGTCAGTCTAGCTACGAACTAGGTGGCCGATTTCATCAGCTTTACAGGAAAAAATTGTATTCATATCGGTATCGTTTCTCAGTTCAAAGTCAGAAATAATGCCATAAAAAAGGTTGCAGAAAACACCCAAAGTCTCGAATTAGTAGTATATATTTACCAAACCCTCATTCTAAATCAAGTATATGATAAACATTAAAAATAAAAGTGCATTATTGCTCTGTTAAACGAAGATTAATTGGACAAACCGACATATCTCGACTTAGGTCATTATTGTTTGCGACCACTGATATATATGTTTTTAATCTAACTATCGCTAAAAATGACTATTTGTTACTTAAAAAACCATCAATGTCCTTAAACTTAACCAATTTCTTAACTTACGCACAGTACCCCTATA